TGATTGTAAAATTTTTCAAAATTTGGGCCCTTATATGTAATTATTTTTCACTTTGGGCCCTTATTTGTAATTATTTTCATTTTTCGGGCCCTTATATGTAAATTCCCCATATATTAACCCAAATATTTAAATAAATTTTAAGTTCATAAATTTTTACAATTTAAATTTTTTTAAATTTATTGAAGCTTGTGAGCACAGTATTAAAGTATTCATTAATCTGAACATTTAAATGAGTATCCACTTCATGAAAATTTCTATTTATTAAAGTACTTATATTTGCAAAAGTTTGTATGCAAATAGTACATTATCAGCACGTTAAACTGCTTATTTTTAGCTAGTTCAATTTTGACAGAATTTGTAAAGAAGGATGTTTATAAATCTAAGCATATATTTACAATAATCTATTCAAATTCATATTAAGGAAGATACGAAATCATGCCTTTGTTACGTTCAATATATTCTTTCTCTATCAAAGTATCAATACATTTTTTTAATCTCGTGTATTTTGGCTATGAAGTAATAACAATCTTTACAGCGTCTGATCACTTCAAAAACTAAAGTAGTATATTTCTCACTTCTTCTATCCTTCATAATACGAATAATGACATTCTAAGAGTGTATATAAAATTATGATTAATTATAATTCATTGTAGATAAAACTTATTTGTATAGTCGATTTAAATTTACAAACCTGTAAATTCATAAGCCTATTATATTATTCTGAATTTTATTCTCAACTTAATTTGGAACATTTATTTTAATACAAAATTTTTTGCTAATTAATAAATTTTTATTTTATGGTTGAATAAGCAATTTAAATAAATAATAAAACCTTTCAAAGTCCATATTCAATTCATAACAAGATAAAGGATCTCCAACTTCATTTCCATTATAAAGCTTGAGAACTTTGGTTTGAATAAGTGTTTTTAGAGTATCTGTCAAGGCACAATAATTTAAATCTGCCATTTGCTTTAATTCTTTAAAAATATATGACGTATTTTTGTTGTAATTCAAAAGAATGCCCATTTGATATGTAGATACCTGGAATGTAATAAATGCTTATTTACGTTAAAAATATCTTACATTGTTATTAATAATAAGACTCTTCAATTACAAATCATGAATTTATAAGCCTTTTTACAATAATCAGCTTTTAATTCACCTTTTGAAAGATGGAATAGCCGATTAAGTTTATGACTGGAGTTATTACTTTGATAAAATGTCTTGAAGTTTCTTCAAGCTAATTAATATCAAAAGAATGGAATAAGTATATTAAAATAAAACGATACGTTGTAATTTTTATTTTGTTTACTTCTTCTGGTATAGTAAAACTTGTTATTGATGGCTAGAAAAGAAAAGTCAACTAAAGCACATAAACATACAAAATGAGTATGTTTAAAAATTAATTGATTTTTAATAATATAAATCTTGTTCATTAACTCTCATAGAGCAATAATTTTTAAACTCATCGGTCATATTTTTACTTAATCCCATGTCAGTAAACATTCGCTCTATATTCAAAACCACATGTTTCATATAAAGAAAATCATCAATATTTATTACTGTATTATCTATAATACAGTTATTGTAACTAGCCTTTAATTTAGAGATCAAGCTATTTTCTGCACCTCTAATCGGGTTTCCCATTTAATAAACGTTTAGCAAACAATTTTGAATAGAATTTTTGGAAAATATCCCTGTATTCCATATATTTAAATATAATCATCCAAAAAAATTTTAAGCAGTGACAAAATACATAATTTAAAGTTTTTAATAATGCAATATGTGAATGCTACAATACTTACAATATCTTCTAATTTACTTTTAATGCTACTTTCCACAGAACCCTTTCTAAGTAAAGAACCACAAAACTGGGCCAATAATTCTGGAGATTTAGCTGATGAGGTACTAGTAATATGGTTGCGATTGACAATTTCTCGGAGCACCTGATAATATAATAATAATAATACTATTATTATTAAGAAATTGATAATGGTATTAATAATGAAATAAAGCTGTATATAACTATATACAATATAATATAAATCAATATTTGACATTACTTTATACAATGAAATAATCAAGTTAGCATCACCTCTGGAAGTAGTAAGCATGTTAATATACATCCTACGCACATCGAGCAAGGCATTAAAGTAAACATTAGGCGTCTATAAATAATAATGTTAATTGATTTATCAACAATTAATTGCTATGATAATAGTTAAAATAATATGAAGCATACTATCTCAGTATTAACATTGTTGGGAATTAGATCTTTAAAAACTTTAAGACCTGTCTTGATATCATGTTCTTCGAACCAGGGTAGAAATGGTTCTTAAAAATTAAGAATTTTTTAAGCTATGTATAATTACACATCACATAACTATTATCATGATAAAATATAAATTTAGAATTCTACCTTTATTTATTGTGATTAAGCAAAATATTTTAAAAATATAAACAGCATATATATAAATATAATAAAAATCTTAGTAAGCTCTGTTAACTCTCTTGTAAGAAAACTTATTAATATTATAAACTTATTATAAACTTATTATAAACTTATTATAAATAATTTAATATATTTATTATAGGACTATTATATTATTAAAATATTGTAAATTTTTATTTTATTCTTTTATTATTATTATTATTATTATTATTATTATTATTATTATTATTATTATTATTATTATTATTATTATTATTA